TTTTTTACAGCTACTTCCAAATTTAAAATTAAAATCGTCTATTTTTTTATGCCTTTTAAATATTCCTTATCTAATTTTTTAAAAAGAATCACACAGTGAAGAACTTTTCATTGTGAAGAGTTTCAAAGACTAAATTAAAAGTGGAAAGACTTGACTTTGGGCTGTATTTGTTTACATTAAATAAATTGTTAACTTTTTTATATTAAATTACCAAAACGTTAAATTGCTTAACAAATATCGTTAAATAAGACTTCTGGTACACATGGAAATAAGTGAAAGTACTGATTGGACAGATATTTATTGAGTGCCAACTATACACAAGGTGGCCTACCACTATCTGTTTCAATTGTTTTATTAAAATGCTCAAGTTTGGAAATAAGTTTGGTTTGTATTAGTCACTAAATAAGAACATAGTCACAAAAAAATAGAGTCCAAATTCATCAAGATTATGCTGTATATTGGCAATTAGTCACCTTGTGTATTAGCATTCGTCACTTAGACAAATAGACTCAAACAGAATCTTAATCTGGGTAAAACGATACCACAGCAGGTTGTATTGCCGGAAGCCTATTAGGCTGGGTGGTCCCCAAACCCAGGACCAGCTCCCGAGCAGATTGTTTAATCTTTATGTGCCCTTTCTTGTTCTCCACCTCACTGGAAACACTTGCCGTGGGTTATCATGCACATCCCTGCCACACATCTGGAAAGAGACCCTTTTGACTTATATAACATAGTTGATAAATATTACTTACGTTTCCAGTCCAGATTCTGGAAAAATTGAAGTGCATGCAAATGCTTAGTCTTACGACTCCTGATAAAATACCAAATGGCTAACCTGGGGGGGGGCCGGGAAGAGTTGGATTCAAATAGGCAAAATCATTTCTCATTGCCTGTTTTCAAAGGCATGTTTGGTATACAGACATAGCCTTGTGCCAGCCATTCCGTCTCTGAGCTGGGTCTTTGATCACGTGATATAGACAGTGCTGTGCAGTAGAAAGGCATGAGCCATACATGTAATTTAAAAGTTTGTGCTGGTCACATTATCAAAAGACATAGGTGAGATGAATTTAAACAGTACATTTTATTTAGCCCAATGACTGATTTCAGCATGACATCAGTTTAAAAGTTTTATGAAATATTTTACGGTCTTTTTTATACTGAACTGTTCAGTATCAGGTGAGTGTTTTACAGCTAAAACACGTCAGTAGTAACCGGGTGAATTTCCGGCGTTCATTAATGCTTCTGGGCAGCGCTGGTCTAAGTGGTTTTCTGACTGTGAAGCCACCACTGGTTTATAACTGATCACTGAAATTCTGTCTTTGATCTGATAGTGTCACTGTTGAGATGCGACCTCAATATTTAATAATCAGAAACATCCAGAAAGAGACAGTTGTCTGCATATTTTCACTCTAAGAAAGAATATGCTAACAGCCAAATGTTTAGAAAACAAAATGGGCTGTTACCATACAAAGTTAATGCCCACCCATCTAGCTCCACGTTACTGAGGGGAAGGCCAGGTGGCCCCCTGCTGGAAGCTTTGTGGAAAGGAGTCCAGCATTTCCATCACTGCAAAACCTCGGAGAAGCACTACTCCAGCTTTGACTTACCACGTTGTGGTTTTGTGATCTGTGGGCTTATTGCCCCTTTTGGTAGATAGTGACTAGTTATTTCAGTCGTGGACCTCTTGTTGCCTTGTCAGGGGCAGGCAAGGCTTTAGCTCAACCAGGATCACCTGGAGGCCTGGTTAAAAGGCCAGTTTCTGACTCTGCAGATCTGGGTGGGGCCTGGGAGTCTGTTTGGAACAGTACCCAAGGGCAGGTCCCTGGACCACACGCCGTGAGGAGCACTGGTTTAGGGCGAAGGTCTCATTTCTTTTCCCGTCACCAGAACATTTGTCAAAATCTGAGATGTTTTGTTTGTCACAGCTGAAGGCTGCGAATGTTACTGGCATGTAATGGGGAGAACTAGGGGTCCTACTAAGCATCCTGCAATGCACAGGGTAGCCCAGCCCGCACAAGGAATTATCCGGCCCAAATAGTAGTGCTGAGGTTGGAAGACCCCTGTCTTGGGGAAAATGAAGAAAATCAAGTATTTATAATAAACTGTGTAAGGAACGTAGGGATAGGTTGTGGTAAGGGCAGTGTAGGATGCTGCAGCTGATGTAGGTTTCAACCAAGGGCATTGAGGTAGGTAAGACAGATGCTGCTCTCAGGGGCACCAGACATGCACACAGAAGGCCCATTTGCTATTTTAACTTTGGAGTAAGACTGGTGAATTGAGAAAGGATGCTACCTGGGAGGGCATGGATGGGTTTTCACGGCATTAAGTGACATTTGACAGCTCTATAAAATGGCTTGGGTTTTGCCAGGGGCATTGTAGCCAAGGAGAACTGGTCATGGGGGCCCCAAAAAGCTGGAGAGGTTTTATGTGGCCAGGTCACAAAGCCTTAAATGTTATTATCCTCAGGACGGTCACCTTCATCCAGGAGGCAGTAGGATAAAGGCTCAAAACCAGAGTGTTCATTGCGGTTTAGGAGACAGTGGAACCCAAGTGAATGAGGCTTTGCTGCTGGTCCGTTGGCCTTGTGGAGAGCCTTAAACGTGCCTCAGCTATGCTGGTCCAATAACATTGTTTTCTGTTAGATCTATCCTGCCTCTTTGTACATGAAGCCTGGAAATTTTATATACAGAGATCCTGAAGAAAAGATGGAACGTTCAGAAAATGTTAGCCCGTGCATCCTTTCTGCCTGGTTCCCAAATGTCACCTGCTCCTGGAGTCTATTTGTGAATGAGAACATTTCTCAATGAGCCCCCGGGGCCTCCAGCCTCCTGCCAGTGCCCGAGTGGGTGTCGGTCACAGGAGGGTTAGTCCTACTCACAGTTCGCTCAGCTGGGTGGAGACTTTAGAATGTGTGCGACTCGGAGGCCCTCCCACTCCAGAGCCTCTGGCTGTTCCTGGACCGGAAGCCTGGGGATCCGTTAGGACTTCCATCCCGTGACTTTGTCTATTGGGTCTTCAACACTCACAGGACTTTTCATATCACTTCACTCAGGATCTACACCATGACACACACCCGTGCCAAATACACTTGGGTTGGTTTTAGTCTCTCTCTTCTCTTTTTCCTCCTTCCCTCTCTCCCCACACATTTAAGTGTTGGTTTCATGATCCAGCAGCTTAATGAAAACCAAAGTGCATCCACTGCCAAACCGGTTTGGCTCAGTGGATAGAGAGTCGGTCTGTGAACTGAAAGGTCCCAGGTTCGATTTTGGTCAAGGGCATGTACCTTGGTTGCGGGGACATCCCCAGTAGGGGGAGTGTAAGAGGCAGCTGATCGATGATTCTCTCTCATTGATATTTCTAACTCTCTATTCCTCTCTCTTTCACTCTGTAAAATAATCAATAAAATATATATTTTAAAAAAAAGAAAAAGAAAACCAAAGTGCATCTTTTCACTGCGTGATGAGCTGGGCACATTTTTCTGACCAGGTGATGAGCAGCTGCGGCCGGAATCACAGCCTCACGGCCCCCCCTGGAGATCCGCCTCCCTGGGGCCCCAGGCGGTTTTGCTGATTTGTGTGCAGCCAACGTATATTGAATGCTTTTTGTGGCCCCACTCTATACCACATGGTTTTTTGGTTTTTTTTAGATGTGTGGTTTTTAATGCATGCACACAGTTAAGAAAATCCTAAAGATAAGAAAATGTTATATATACTATGAGAAGACTTCCTCCCCGACCCAAATGTTCCTACTTAAAATTATTCAGAAACCAAGATAGTTGGTTTCTTGTGTGTTTTCCAGAGATGTGTTTTGCATTTGCAAGCATATGTATGTAATTTTTAGCATGGGTGTCCAGATATTCCTATCTAAAATTTCCCTCTCAAACGAGGAATATATAATGTTACCTGCATTTTCTAGGTGATGACACTGAGACGGTGAGTATAAGTAACTTGGTCTGGGCCCCATAGTAGGTACAGAGCTGGAATTTAGACCAGGAGCTCTGGTTTTAAGCAAAACTAAACCAAGATTCACGGACACACAGGCAAGCTAATCTCGTCCTCCACGCAGGCTTATTTTGCCCCACCTCAACACTGTGTCTTTTTAGATGTTTGTTCACCATCTGTCTGGATGAGGAGGTGAAGGCCACAGCAAGGAAGAACAGAGATGAATACTACCTTTTTCCTCTCCTCTCGTCTCCTCCAGCTCAGCTCTGGCTTCAGATTGCAGATACCACTCACCAAGCAGTGTCTGCCCAGGCACCCCCTCTTCAAAGGCAATTTAGGGACCAGGAGTTATTACTCAAGCTCAGCTCCACTCACGCTTCCTACGGCAGCTTTCGCATGTCTGACGATGTTTTGTCTTCCTGGTGATGCCGGACGGCAGCCCAGGCTGGCCTGTGCCTTTATCGGCCCCGGGTATGAGGCGGGTGCCAGCCCTCAGTCCGTGGTCCTGCATTGTTGCAGGTCTGAGCCATTCCACACTGAATGCTCGGAGCCCAGGCTTCCATCGCAGCTGCAGCAGAGACTCAGAGCTGCTCAGGCATTCCTATCACTCCTGCCTTTGTGACAGCAGCTATGACTGCTGAGGCCCTTATGCAACCAGGTGCTGTGCTTCCGCTCTCGGTGGGAGTTCTCAGCATAACTTGTTGTCGGAATGGCCTATTAGGTGATCCGTAGGTTGGGGAGAAAGAGCTTACCCCATGGGGACTGTGAGATGAGAGTCTTTGTGGCCAGGGCTTTGTTACAATGCCTCCCAAAGGCTCTGGGCACCTGCTAGGGTTCCCCTTGAGAGGGGACGTGTGTACATTTAGAGGATGTCATCTCATCAGGAATTCAGGGTCCTCACACACTCAGCGACAGAGAAATGCTGTCAGAGACCAAACTTTTTAAATGGTGGTGGGTGGTGATATGAGGTGCATGCTTCAAATTTTTTGTTCCTACAGTGCTAATAAAATCGAGCTGCGTTGTATGACTTCTATGTTTGTCATTTCTCTGAATCGGCAGGTAACAAGGAAGGGACCCATTCTACATCCTGGGTGTTGCTGAGCATCCTTCTGGGCGCGGTGGCCATGCTGTGCAAAGAGCAGGGGATCACTGTGCTGGTAAGACCTGCTCTGAACGCACCCTCCCCCCTCCCGTAGAGGCAGAGCGAGCCGGCCCTGCCTGTCTGACCTCTATTGCACCCCATTGCCAGTAACCGTGGTAGACATTTCTGGATCAATTACTTATGCTCTCACAATCTTGGTGTTGCATTTGGGCCATGGTCGACAAATTGCGGCTCTCGAGCCACATGTGGCTCTTTGGCCCTTTGAGTGTAGCTCTTCCACAGAATACCATGGCCTGGGTGAGTCTATTTTGAAGACTTGGCGATAGAAGAAGTTTAAGTTTAAAAAAATTGGCTCTCTTGCCAAAGCCGGTTTGGCTCAGTGGTGGAGTGTCAGTCTGCGGACTGAAGGGTCCCGGGTTCAATTCTGGTCAAGGGCATGTGCCTGGGTTGCGGGCACATCCCCAGTGCGGGGTGTGCGGGAGGCGGCTGGTCGGTGTTTCTCTCTCATCGACGTTTCTGGCTCTCTCTCTCCCTTCCTCTCTGTGAAAAATCAATAAAATATATTTAATAAATAAATAAATAAATAAGTAAATAATTTGGCTCTCAAAAGAAATTTGGTGATCATTAGCAATTGGTGAGAATGAAGAGTGGGAGGTCCTTAAAGAGTGGTGATTAGCCAAAACCGGCTTGGGGACTGAAAGGTCCTGGGTTCGATGCCGGTCAAGGGCATGTACATTGGTTGCGGGCACACCCCCCAGTAGGGGGTGTGCAAGAGGCAGCTGATCGATGATTCTCTCTCATCGATGTTTCTAACTCTCTATCTCTCTTCCTTTCTGTATAAAATCAATAAAACATTTTTTTTTTAAAGAGTGGTGATTAGTCCTCTTGGAGAGTCCCATAGAGAAAGGTGGGTTTTCTTGGGTGCTCTCATATTTGGGCAGTCCTAAATGCAACAGAGGGCTGACCCCATTAGTGCTTCTGGTCCTGGTTAAAGAAGTACTGAGTTCAGATTATGTTATATTTGGCTTCCATTGGAAATGTGAAAGGAGAGAAGAGGACCTTTTTTTAATGATTGATTAATTTTTTACAGTGCGGAAGGGAGAGGGATAGAGAGTTAGAAACATCAATGAGAGAGAAACATCGATCAGCTGCTTCCTGCACACCCCCCACTGGGGATGTGCCTGCAACCAAGGTACATGCCCTTGACTAGAATCGAACCTGGGACCCTTCTATCCGCAGATCAACGCTTCATCCACTGAGCCAAACCAGTTAGAGTGAGGAGAGGGCCTTTGAGGAGGAGAGGCATGCACCTCCGATGGCTGATTTGAATTGAAGCCCCTGGGAGGGAGAGACATTGAAATCCACTTCCTCTTTTTCTCTATTCTAGCCAGTGTTCTGCCTTACATTATTAGAGGGAAATCTAGAAATTAGAGATGTGAGCAGAGGTAGACAAATGGAAAACAAAGGTGTGGGGTGTGAATGGCCCATGTAGGAATACCTTGGGGAAGGAAGGGCAGTCAATGCTACATGGGGTTTGACACAAGTCAAGGAAAGATCAGTGGTTTTATTGGACTCGGTCCATAATGTTAAGGTTAGCTATCTACTGTAGAAGATGGTGTAAAAGGAATTACTGTGACAAGATCCTTGAATTTCAGGAGTAACTTTTTAAAAGTTTGTTCTAAGCCAGGGTTTCTCAACTTTGCTATTATTGACATTTAGGGCTGGATCTTTTTTCCTTTTTTTGTCTTTTTATTATTAATATATATGTGTGTGTGTGTGTGTGTGTGTGTGTGTGTGTGTGTATTTGTATGTGTGTATGTTTAATATTTATAATAGTAAAAGCGTAATATGCTAATTAGACCAGACAGCCGAACAACCTTTGGACAACTTTCTGGATGAAATTGGGACTGCGAGGGCCGAGCCCCTTGCACGAATTTCATGCATCCTGCCTCTAGTGAGTGTGTGTGTGTGTTATTGATTTCAGAGAAGGGAAAGGGAGAAAGAGAAATATTGATGAGAAATATTCATTGATCCGCTGCCTCCTGCACACCCCCTATTGGGAATCAAGCCTGCAACCAGGGCATGTGCCCTGACCGGGAATGGAACCATGACTCCTGGTTCATAGATGGATTCTCAGCCACTGAGTCACACCAGCCTGACATGGGCTGGATCTTTTTTTTGTTGTTAACCCTCACCCAAGGATATTTTCCCATCGATTTTGAGAGAGAGTGGAAGAGAGGGGGAGAGACAGAGAGAGAGAGAGACATTGATGTGAGAGATACATCAATTAGTTGCCTCCTGCATGCACCCCGACCAGGGCCAGGGAATCAAACCTACAACCAAGGTACAAGCTCTTGACCAGAATCAAACTCATGACCCTTCATTCTGCGGGCTGACACTCTATCCACTGAGCCAAACCAGCCAGGGCTAGATCTCTTGTCTTCCGGAGGCCTATCCTGTGCTCTGTAGGATGTTTAGCATCATGCCTGGCCTCCAGTAGGACCCCCTCAAATGTAACAACCAAAAATGTCTCCCAACATAGTCACACATCCCCTGAGAGGCAAAATCATCCTCTTGGGAATCACCGCTCTGCACCCATGCTCCTCCGGGTGTTTGAAGCCCAGTGGCATCAGCATCATCTGGGACTTATTAGAAATGTAGGTTTCAAACCCCACACCAGGACTGCTGCGTCAGAATCTCCACTTAGCAGGGACCCACGGTGATTCCCTTTGACGTTTGAATTTATGTGAAGAAGGACACGGTGAAATTCAGCTGTTTTCAAAAATTCGATAAGAACGTGGACATTTTGCCGAAACCGGTTTGGCTCAGTGGATAGAGCATCGGCCTGTGGACTCAAGGGTCCCAGATTCTATTCCCGTCAAGGGCATGTACTTTGGTTTCGGGCACATCCCCAGTGGGAAGTGTGCCAGGAGGCAGCTGATTAGTGTTTTTCTCTATCGATGTTTCTAACTATCTCCCTTCCTCTCTGTAAAAAATCAATTAAAAAAAATTTAAAAATTTAAAAAATGGACATTTTGAGGGTGTGGATATTTTGAGGGCACATTTAAGTGGGAAGGAGGAGGGAGGGCCAGACTTGTGCTTGACTCAGTGCTCCTGACAGCCAGGCCCCGTCCCCCGTGGTGACTGTCCTACAGCTCACAGGCAGAAGCACAGACTGTGTGAAAAGGCAGTGACGGCAGCCGCTCCACAGGGAGCTCTGCCTCCTGGAAAACGGTTCACACCCGGGCAGAAATGGTCTCCTGTGACCCACTAAATCATGTGTCGCTTGGGTGAACGAAATCAGGAAATCAGGGTTCTTGAAACGATTAATCCAGCGCTGGCCCGTGTATTGGATAATGAAAGGCTCCCAGCATTTCTGGGAGAAGGCTAAGTAGGAATGTCATCCTTGCTCGGAAAACCATGAATCACCACTGGCTTCTGATGATGTATGATCTTTGACACGAAGCCCCATATTAGAAGGCCACAAGTCATTTAGGGGCGGTGTTGTCCAAATGCACCAGGTATATTCTGACCACTTTATCTAGAGTGGGCAGAGTTCTGCCCTGGGAAGTCCATTGCAGTGCAGACAGTAGATTTCCTGGTCAGAGCACATGCCTAGGTTGCGAGTTCAATCCCCAGGCAGGATGTGTGTGGGAGGCAGCTAATCTATCCATCTATCTATCTATCTATCTCTTTCTCTTTGTTCCCCACTTACCCTCTCTCTAAAATCAGTAAAATATATCCTTGGGTGAGAATTACAGAAAACAAGTATAGCAAGCTGGTGGATAATTAGGAGTCTAAAGCTAAGGAATCTCCAACAGCCCATCACAGTGTCCCTTGTGCATGTTCTGCTCCTGCTTCTGCTGCCCTTGCTGAAGTTGTCAGCTCCTGGTGTTCCTGGGGTTCCTGAGGTGTCTTTACTTATGTGGCTGGGTTTCCGAGGTTGATGGCTGCCTTTGTCTTCTTAGGCATAATAACTGCCCACATAACCACTCTGTTATGTCAATTAACCTGTTAACCGAGCGGGACCTTATTATAAATACGTCTAACGTAAACAATATCGGGAATGGGCAGGACATATGAATATGTCCTTGAAATATATGTTGCACCCCAAGAGGGACGGTATATATTTTTTGTAATCTTTTTTTTTTTTTTTTTTTTAATATTTTATTGATTCTTTACAGAGAGGAAGGAAAGGAGAGGGATAGAGAGTTAGAAATATCGATGAGATGAGAGAGAAACATCAATCAGCTGCCTCTTGCACCCCCCCCACCGGGGATGTGCCAGCAACCAAGGTACATGCCCTTGACCGGAATCGAACCCAGGACCTTTAGGTCCAAAGGCCGACGCTCTATCCACAGAGCCAAACCGGTTTTGGCTATTTTTTATAATCTTTATCATTGTTTGTAAAATTTATAATTTTTTAATTCAACGTGTCCATTTCTTTTTGTCTGTATTCTTTTCTATTTTTTTTGTAATTTTGTATTTTCTTTTGTGCTTTATATATATAAATAAACAAAAATATATATACATTTCATTTCTTTTCATTAAGTATAAATAAAAAAAATAATATGAAATTACATCCTCTGGGTGTGACGTACTGACACGTCCTAGTGAAAGAGTACGCGCCCATTACAGGTTGCATCATTAAAAAGGGAACTCTCCGGTTAACAGGAAAAGGGGGGAAGGAACGACCTTTGAGGAGGTCCAAATTTCTAAGTTATCCCAAATCTTACAGTATTCCAACATGCCGACTATGAAATTATGACTAACAGGTATTTATTAGCTAATAAATTTGACATATTACTATGAGCTAATTTCGTAGGAACAATGGTTGTTTTTCCAAGAGCTGATCCACTCTATTCCTCACCTAGATGTACAATATAATCACGCAGTATATAATTGCTACCCAATCAGCGTTAGGCACTCGCATCCTTGATTGCCTTGTTTTGCCTCCTCAGGGCTTAAATGCGGTCTTTGACATCTTGGTGATCGGCAAAGTAAACGTCCTGGAAATTGTCCAGAAGGCACTACACAAGGACAAGTCATTAGAGGTGAGTGTGTACTTTTTGTCTCCAGCCCCGACACGGAAAATGTCAAGTACCAGCTGATTTAAAATGCCATTTTCAAAGTCCTTCCTGCGCGTCTGAATTCTAAAATAGCCAGCCTTTTAGAGCACAGTGTCAGCACAGTTCAGGTAGAATTTCAAACACTTCGGTTTGAAAATCTGTGACATCGGGGGCTTTGCGGTGTCTTTGCAGAGCATTGGCGTGCTCAGAAATGGGGGTCTCCTCTCCAGAATGGCCCTCCTGGCTGTGGGGGGAGCCGGGGTGCTCTACGTGCGCTGGAAGATCATGGGCACCGGCCCGCCGCCCTTCACCGAGGTGGACAACCCCGCCTCCTTCGCCGACAGCATGATGGTCAGGGTGAGTTCCGGGCGTGTCCACCCAGTTCCCCGGCCCTTCACCCAGCACACCCACAAAACCGCTAATCAGCGGAACCCCTCCGTGTTTGTTTGCCATCACGAAGGACACTCCAGGAGGAAACCAGGCTTTGATCGGGCGATTGAGCAGGCAGAAGCACCCTGTATTTCCATTCTAATCAAAATGGAGCAGTTTCTTCTAACGTCAGGCTTCTCACCGGCCTCGTTAGTGTCTCCTAACCCCGAGACTTTTGTTATAAAGGAAATTGGCATGGCGGGGTTAAGATAAAATATAGCCGTGTCAGCGGTACCTTTAAAAGTCTAATGGTGTCAAGACTCCATTGCAAAGGCTGGCTCTCTCTGAAGGCCAGGGTGCCGGTGCCTTCATAGAGCAGTGCGTTTCACAGAGACGGAAACCAAGAGGAACAGCCTGGAATCCTGGTCTTACGTTGTGAGGCACACAGGTGACCCCCGGGCCTCAGATTTCCTGGGTCACAGACTTCGGGCCTCTCTACGCAAGTGGGTCACAGACTGATCAGAAACGGGATAACTGTATAGCAGCGTCTGGCGGCTACGCTGCGTTTTTCTCTCTTAAAATCTCCGTGCATTTCATAAATTGCAAAGTAGAGCCCCTCGCCCACCGTCGCAAGTGGCCACATTTTATCTTCTATCACTGCTCTCCTGGAAGAGAAGCCTGCGGATGCCTCCCAAGTGAAGTTAGGACACATACGTACATTTTCAAGTTTAGTATGAAGTAAATGTTTGTTTTCCTTTTGACTGACAGGCCATAAACTATAATTACTACTATTCCTTGAATGCCTGGCTGCTGCTGTGCCCCTGGTGGCTGTGCTTTGATTGGTCCATGGGCTGCATCCCACTCATTAAGTCCGCCGGGGACTGGAGGGTAATTGCACTGGCAGCACTCTGGTTCTGCCTAATTGGCCTCGTATGCCAAGCCCTGTGCTCTGCAGACAGTCACAGGAGAAGGTAAGAGACGGCACCGAGTTTTAACTCCCACCCCGGGTTAAGTCAGAAGCATTTTGCTAAATCCATCACCGATCGTTTTAACGATTCTGTGGAAGTAATGTCTGAGGACATTCATTTCCGGTGCATATTTTTGACGAGGAAGAGTTCACCCACTCGGAATCCATCGCTGGCTCCAACTTGGAATAGGGGGTATGGATGACTGCCTTATCTCCCCCTCCTCCCCTCCGCCTGAAGTAAGTAGCATTTTGAGATCCTTTTCTCTGCAGGTGGTAAAGAGTAATTTATGGTCAGAACAGAGGGTGTAATTGATGTGTGTTGTGCCCGTTATTTCACAGTTCTCCTTCAGAAAACCCTGCTGATTGCCATAGTGATTCTTTCTGTTGTTGTTTGGGACAAAATAAACTGCTACCCCAAAGAGACTCTTTTTTTCTCACCAAAAAAAAAGGGGGGGGAGGTTATTGAGAATAAAATTGGAGGAAAAACAAATGTGTTTTGTGAGAAAGAAAATGATTTAAGATGATTTCCTTTTCGTAGAAGTATGGATTTAGATTAGTAATTTCTCAAAATCAATTAAGGTTCAAGTTTACCTGTGTTTTAAATTGGTTCGTAATTCTAAAGGTCGACAAACTTTTGCCCCCGTTCATTTATACGTGTGCCATTAGACTTTATTTTTAACATACTGTAGGCACAGGGACCAGGAAGGAGCCAGCAAATTTGACCTAGTTTCCCAATTCATCCTCTTGTATCATATGGGACATTAGAAATGATAGCCTGGTCCAGCCACCTTCTACTTGACTGAAGTTTGTGGGGTTGTAACCTCCAAGATGATATTAGTTTATTTCAGGTTTTATAAGGTTGAAGCTAATTAATTAATATTATCCCTGTTAAGTTCATAGGGGAATTTTTCCCCCCTATATAAACTATGTTAAACTAATTGGGACCAACATGGACTGAGCTGTTCAATACCTACATGGTTTGAGTGTGTTAGGAGTAGATGAATTAAGAAGGCCTCACAAACAGAGTCATTCTAACCTCATTGTTATGAATCGTGTGACTTTATCCTTATGCTTGATGCTGAGTGCCTCTGTGAGATTTTTACATCTTTTTTTTTTTTTAAGATATATTTTATTAATTTTTTTACACACAGGAAATGAGAGGGATAGTAAGTTAGAAACATCCATGAGAGAGAAACATCAATCAGCTGCCTCCTGCACACTTCCCAATGGGGATGTGCCCACAACCAATGTACATGCCCTTGACCGGAATCAAACCCGGGACCTTTCAGTCCGTAGACCGACGCTCTATCCACTGAGCCAAGCCGGTTTCATGCCACACCTTCTTTTAATATTGCCAGGCTAAACCCTCTCTGCTGATGACAGCGTTTTGCTGCTGCCAGTACCTTTTCTCAACGGATGGCCTGGGGAGAAAAAAGCCTTTCTTATTATTTTCATGCTGACTAGTACGTTTTCTTGAGATAGTTACAAATAGCCATTTGCATATCTCTCATTTTCCAGGATCCTCACGCTGGGCCTGGGATTCCTCGTTATCCCGTTTCTTCCCGCAAGTAACCTGTTCTTCCGCGTGGGCTTCGTGGTGGCGGAGAGAGTGCTGTACCTGCCCAGCGCGGGGTACTGCATGCTGCTGACGCTCGGGTGCGGCGCTCTCGGCAAACACACGCCGAGAAAGGTACTGGCCAGGAGGGGGCCCTTGGGAACCAGGTGGTTGGATGGTTGGACGGAGTTTCCTCACGACATTTACCATGTCTCTCTGTTCTCAAGAAACTGATCGCTGCTCTCGTACTGGGGATTCTATTCCTAAACACGCTGAGGTGCATCATTCGCAGCGGCGAGTGGCGGAGCGAGGAACAGCTCTTTAGAAGCGCCCTGTCTGTGTGCCCTCTCAATGCTAAGGTGTGTTGGCTGCCCTGTGTCCTTAGAGAGTCGTTCCTAGGAAATCGTTTTCCATTCCAAGACTGAATAAGAAGAATGTTTGCCTTCAGACAGAATCTAGCATAAGTCTGGGTTTCTCTCTCTCTCTCTTTTTTTTTTTCTTTCCTTTTGATAAAAATGTATTAAAATTCCCCTGAGCCAAAATAATTCAGAAGAAACTATTAAAGCCAAGCAGTGTCTGCCCTGGCCAGTAGGACTCGGTGGGGCTTCATCCCGAGCACCGGAAGGTTGCTGGTGTGATTCCCAGTCAGGGCACGTGCCTGGGAGTGTTGTGGGTTCGATCTCCAGTAGGGGGAACGCGTGACACAGTCGATAGATGTTTTGATCTCATATCGATGTATTTTTCTCTCTCTCCCTTTTCCCTTCCTGTCTCTCAAAAAAAAAAAAAAAAAAACCAGTAAAAATACATTTAAAAAAGACAATGTCAGTGAAGCAAGGGGTTACTGAAAGGAAGTGTTACTCACCTCCTTTTGAAGTGGTGGCAGGGGAGCTAACACCACACAGCCAGGCTGCGCTGGACGCGGGCCACAGCTGAATCACGCAGAGCACGCTTTTCAAAATACATGCTCTGGCCATAGCATCCACCAGCCTCACGCCATCATTGGAAGGTGATAGTACCTACAAATAGACAATCATTGGATTCAGGAAGTTTAAATTGTGCTATGTGATAGCACTGGTACACATTTGCGTCACCTGTGGTTTCCCTGCTCTTAATTCCTTTTGTTAGGCTGGGGCAGTGGTTGGCAGACTCATTGGTCAACAGAGCCAAATATCAACAGTACAAGGATTGAAATTTCTTTTGAGAGCCAATATTTTTAAAACTTAAACTTCTTTTTTTTTTTTTTTTTTTAATATATTTTATTGATTTTACACAGAGAGGAATTGAGAGGGACAGAGAGTTAGAAACGTCAATGAGAGAGAAACATCGACCAGCTGCCTCTTGCACACCCCCTACTGGGGATGTGCCCGCAGCCAAGGTACATGCCCTTGCCCGGAATCGAACACGGGATCTTTCAGTCCGCAGGCCGACGCTCCATCCACTGAGCCAAACCGGTCCCGGCTAAAACTTAAACTTCTAATGCCACTTCAAAATAGGCTTGCCCAGGCTGTGGTATTTTGTGGAAGAGCCACACTCAAGGGGCCAACGAGCCGCATGTGGCTCGCGAGCCACAGTTTGCCGACCACGGGGCTAGGGGAAAATAAATGTATAGATTTTAAAATGGGTAGTGTTTTTGTTGAAGCAGTCTGGAAGGAATTTTTCCACTTGGATTCTTCCTGAATCCAAGCTCTTTGCTTCATTGTCTCTGCCTGCTTGGATGACACTAAACTTTTTTGAACTTTCAGTGCCCTTAGTAAAGGGGGCCGATAATGCCCATCTCTTGAGTTTGTGTCGAGGCCTTCCAGAAACCTGGCATCTGACGTGGCCTCACAGGGTAGTGAGAACATAGCAGGTGCTCAAGAAATGCTGGCTTTCTTAGGCTCATCTTAGTTTTGGTTGACAGTGACAAGAAGGGAATGTTACTTGCTCAAAGTGGGATAACAGGGGGTTAGGTTAGAAGGATGTTTGTTCATAGATATCATTATTACTAAACTAGAGGACCATGCACAAAATTCGTGCAAGGTCTCGGCCCTCACAGCCCCGGCTTCATCTGGAAGGTTGTCTGGAAGTTTATCTGGATGTTGTTCCTCTGTTCAGTCGTTCTGCTGTTCAGAACAGATATGTTGATTTGCATATTACACTTTTATTAGTATAGGTAAGGGTTCATTCTGCCTTGGGTCATAAGAATTGGATGCTCCAAATGAACCCTCAGGAGGTAGAAACAAAGCTTCCTGCAGCTCTCTCATTTTTATATTCTCTACGAAAAAGCAGTGATTTCAGGAAAAGTTATATATGCAAATCTAATGAGTAGTTGACATCTTATTGTGACCTCAAAGCAAAGAATAGCATAAAAAATACTGACTCCTTGTTTGTCTTTTTTTTTTTTTTTTGGATTAAAAAAAACCCTTGATCATGCTTTATAGCTAAGAGACTTAGATTAAAAAAAAGTGAATTATTTTAAACTTAGCATTAATTTGATTTGTTTGCCTACCCATTACTAAAAACAAATTGTCTGTGATTTAATTTTATGCATGTTAATAGATTTGTTTTATTTTTACTTTGGTATTTGAATAGCAGAAATTATGTCTCCTATTTATATAGTTCTTTCCTATAAGAAACTCAAATTTCTTTGTAGTGGCTCTATCATTAATCTCATTATATTCCCTTTAAGGTTTTTAGAGAGAGGATATTATTATTATTATTATTATTATTATTATTATAAACTAGAGGACCCAGTGCATGAAATTCATGCACAGGGTGGGGGGGGGGTGTCCTTCAGCCCAGCCTGCACCCTCTCCAATCTGGGGCCCTTCAAAGGATGTCCAACTGCCGGTGTAGTCCCAATCTCACTGCCTAAGTGGGCAGTCGGACATTCCTCTCACAATCCAGGACTGCTGGCTCCCAACTGCTCACCTGCCTGCCTTCCTGATTGCCCCTAACCGCTTCTGCCTGCCAGCCTGATCACCCCCTGGCCACTCCCATGCCAGCCTGATTGATGTCTAACTGCTCCCCTGCCAGCCTGTTTGCCCCCAACTTCCCTCCTCTGCCATTCTAACTGCACCTCCCCCTGCAGAGTTGATCACCCACAACTGCCCTCCCTTGTAGGCCTGGTCCCTCCCAACTGCCCTTCCCTGCTGGCCATCATGTGGTGGCCATCTTGTGTCCCCATGGGGGCAGGATCTTTGACCACATGGGGGCAGCCATATTGTGTGTTGGAGTGATGGTCAGTCTGCATATTACTCTTTTATTAGATAGGATGGGAGAAAGTGAGGCATAGAAAAATGGAGCTGGTGTTATCTAGCTTAGTGATCTGGGTGGCTGGATGGAGACCTGATATGATACAAGTTACTCCAGTAAATGGGGGAGGTGAGAAATGGGGCATGTGTATGGAACCTACCGTGTTTCCCCGAAAATAAGACATCCTCTGAAAATAAGACCTAGCGCATGGAAAGATAAGACATCCCCTGAAAATAAGACCTAGCGCAACTTTGGGAGAAAAAATTAATATAAGACACTGTCTTATTTTCAGGGAAACAGGGTATCTATGTGTCCTAGTGACATGACGTCATATATTGTAGACCAGAAAACACAGGGTGTGCACACATGGGCACACCCACAGTAATTAATTCTATGTCTTCTTCAAAAATGGACCTGGTGGTGATAGTCCTTTCTAAGAACTTTTTTTAGTGATGCCAGTCAGTCCGAGCAAAGGAGAGATTATATTTTACGTTTTTACTTTCCACTATAAATTGAAATGTTATAAAATTGTCTTTACTTTCTTTTGTTTAGGAAAAAAAAAGCTAGGTTGATTTCAGGGCAGAGATCTCATTAGGAAGACACTGGTTTCCTTCAACTCCTTACAGGAGGTACAGTTTTTGCACTGGTATCTACTTTATGTTCAATGAATATTAAGTAAGAAGTTGACACCTGGTTCTAGAGTGGGCCCAGATGTACAAACAGGCTCATGTTTCTCAAAAGTTTGCAATGTCTAGGCAGTGCTTGGTCTTTGTTTGAACAGTGCTTTTGCATATGGTACGCTCTCAATATTAGTGACTGAATTGAGCCAAATGGAAATTAAATTCTTTGAGCTTACTGTGGTGAAATGCCAAGTATCTACTTAAGTTGACAGTCATTTCTAGGTGTTTTTGTTTGTTTGTTTTTGTCTTGTTTTAATATATTTTATTGATTTTTTTACAGAGAAGAAGGGAGAGGGATAGAGAGCTAGAAACATCAATGAGAGATAATCATCAATTAGCTGCCTCCTGCACACCCCCCACCAGGGATGTGCCCACAACCAAGGTACATGCCCCCAACTGGAATCAAACCTGGGACCCTTCAGTCCGCAGGCCGAAGCTCTATCCACTGAGCCAAACCGGTTTTAGCCATTTCTAGTGTTTAAGGCTTTAACGTGTGTGTCACTTTTGTGTCAACTCTGGGATACAATTCTAAACTCTCTTTTAACAATGAAAGGATCACATCCCACAATGAGGCATTTCCTTTAAGGAGTGATCTGGGATAGATTATAGGATTTTCAGGTGCTTAGAAGATTTTAAATTTAACATCCACCCTTGGCAGGATGTTTGAAACGAGCTCGTTTTGTTCCTGGTGTTAAAACCGCCTTCCGTTACTGTGGCTTTTACCTCCTTTACACTCACACGTCCTCAGGCTGCGGCTGGCTTTCTCTGTGGCTTCTGTGCTGGGTCATTGCCTCAGCTCAGGAATCACAAAGGCTGGAGGGAAAGCTCACGTCTAAATAGGGTTTTTCAATCTCTTCCCTTCCCAGGAAACAGAAATCACTCATTCTTTTAAACACTATTTTAAGTAAATTGTGGCCCGGGTTATTTTGTTTTGTCTTTTTAAGGTGGGTTATCCAGGCAGCTGTTTTCTGTTCAAATACTTCCCCTCCCATAACCCCGAGGACACGGCTGGCCTCTGGGCCAACCGGTGTGCCAGTGCTTCCTTAGGAGTGCCCCAGAAATGACGGCAGCCTGAATGCCCAGAGTGCCCTCGCCCTCCCTCATCTTCCCGCATCTCGCCTTGCAGGTGTCTGGCAGAGGGTGTCTGGCAGAACACCGTCTGTGCTGCAGAGGGCACTTGAACTCTTTGTTTGAGCTTTTTACTGAGAAAACAGAATTTCCCCGGAACAAAGGAAAGCAGCGGGAGCTCGGGGCGGAAGAGGAAGAGGCGGGAGCGTGCCTCAGAGCCCTCTTTGTATTCTGGGGACCGCAGGCACATCCCTCCCGGGCTGGATTCTCCAGATTTGGTTCTTTTGTGTGAGGGGCCAGGAGGTGGAGTAACGTGTCTCTGCTGGGGCTGGGAGAGGCACAAAATCAAACCATTTAGAGCATACTTTTCAACAGCTGACCCTGGCGTTAACCAGCCTCCGAGCTACGATTTGAAGATGATTGCACCTGCGGATGGACAGTAATTTGGGCCAGGAAGTTTTAAATTATGCAATGTCTGTGCAGTAGTGCACGTCTCTGTCACCCGTGGCATCCCTGATGGTTATCTCCCTTTCTTTCATTCTTTTCTTACAAGGTGGCGCCAGCCCCTGGCCACGTCTGTAGGGTTTTAGCTAAAGTTCTGGTGCAGGGGGCCGGGTGGGAGGGGTGGGGTTGTTTTGGTTTTAAATACCATTACCTTTTGTTTTCATTTAGAAAATAAGATAGTTATCCCTATTCTGAAGAAGAAATCTTATCAGCTAATGACCAAGTTTTTATCTCTATTTTCAGGTTCACTACAATGTTGGCAAAAACCTGGCTGACAAAGGCAATCAAACAGCTGCCATCAGATATTATAGGGAAGCTGTAAGGTACTGCCGGCATTCTGTCTCATTTATATATATATGTACTAGAGGCCCGGTGCATGAAATTTGTGCATGTGGGAGGGGATCCCTCAGCCTGGCCTGCACCCTCTCACAATCCAGGACCAACTGCCCTTTCACAATCTGGGACCGCTGGCTCCTAACCGTTCACCTGCCTATCTGCTTGATCGCCCCTAACCACTCGCCTGCCTGCCTCATCACCCCTAACCACTCTACCTACCTGCCTGATTGCCTCTAACCCCTCTGACTGCCTGATCACCGCAACCACTCACCTGTCTTCCTAATTGCCTCTGACCACTCTGCCTGCCTGCCTGATCGTCCCTAACTGCTCACTTACCTGCCTGTTCTCCCCTAACCACCTCTGCCTGCCTGCCTCATCACCCCTAATCACTTGCCTGCCTACCTGCCTGATCGCATCTAACAACTCTGCCTGATTGCCCCTGAGCACTCTGACTGTTTGCCTGATCACCCCTAACGACTTCTGCCTCGGCCCCCACCACAGTGGCTTCCGTAAGGTCGTTCGACTGTCTGGTCTAATTAGCATATCATGCTTTTATTATTATAGACTTTTAACTTTCTAAAATTAAATACCTGTCCCCTTACCCTAGCCAGTTTGGCTCAGTAGATAGAACATTGGCCTATGGACTGATGGTTCATAGTTTCGATCCCGGTCAAGGGCACATGCCCGGGTTGTGGGCTCAATCCCCAGTGAGGGCCGTACAGGAGGCAGCCAGTTAATGATTCTCTCTCATCGTTGATGTTTCTGTCTCTCCCTTTCCCTCTAAAATCAATACAAGTATTTTTAAAAATAAAAAGCAGTCTCCTTAACGACCCCAACTTTAAGATACCCTTGCCAATTCCTGAGAGCTTAGTGAAGACAACTGAACATTAACAGATTGGCTTGGTTTCTTCTCTCCACCTTCAGATTAAATCCCAAGTATGTTCATGCCATGAATAACCTTGGAAATATTTTAAAGGAAAGGAATGAGCTACAGGAAGCGGAGGAGCTGCTGTCTCTGGCTGTACAAATACAGTAAGCATTGCTTTTAGAATTCTGCTCATGGCAAAGAAATGAGCTCCTGCCTTTGGGGGCCTGAGCCTTTCTCTTCCTTGTTTTCCTTTTCAAACTGCTCTTCCAGGCCGGACTTTGCTGCGGCCTGGATGAACTTAGGCATCGTGCAGAACAGCCTGAAACGGTTCGAAGCTGCCGAACACAGCTACCGGACAGCAATCCGACACAGGAGGAAGTACCCCGACTGTTACTACAACCTCGGGCGCTTGGTAAGTGGCCTGTGACTGCAGAAGAAAAAGTTTTTTTTTTCTTTATTTATAATAAAATGAGGATACTAATACGCCGTATAGTTCTTTCACTTAAGTTTATCTCATTTGAAGGCAGCTATTTGATTTCCTTATATTTAACTTCTAAAGCTTTAATTAGAGAGCCTTCCAACTTGAATTAGCCAAGCTTAAGAGAGCACAGAGTCAATAGGTCAAACCAAAGAATAAATTAGAATTTTTAAAGTCCCTTGTGCCTTGCACTCCTAGGGATAAGGTAACTTCCTGATAAACATTAGTTCCTCTGTTTTGAAATCACAAATAAATACTGAGATTTTAAAAAAAAACATAAACCTATAATGTGATTTCTTTGATTTTTTTCATTTTTATTGAATTTATTGGGGTGATATTGATTAATAAAATTGTATAAGTTTCCGGTGTACAATTCTATGATACATCATCTGTATAGTATATCGTGTGTTCACCACCCCAAATCAAGTCTCCTTCTATCCCATTTATTCCCTCTTTACTCTCTTCTACCTCCTCCATAGCCCCCTCACCCTCTGGTAATCCCCAATTGTTGCCTGTGTCTGTGAGATTTTTTTTTCTTTCCTGAATCCCTTCACCTTTTTCACCAAGCCCCTAAACTCCCTTCCCCTTTGACAGCTATCAGTCTGTCTCAGCATCTATGGATCTGTTTCTATTATGGTTGTTTATTTTATTCATTGGATTCCGCATATACGTAAAATCATATGATATTTGTCTTTCTCGGACTGGCTTATTTCACTTAGCATAATGCTCCCCAAGTCCATCCATGCTATAACAAAACGTAAGATTTCCTTCTTTTTTTTTTTTCTTTTTTTTTTTCTTTTTTTTTTTTCTTTTTTTTTCTTTTTTTTTATTTTTTTTTATGGCTGAGTAGTATACCATTGTGTAAATATGCCACAGCATTTTTATCCTTTCATCTACAGGGGCACTTGAACTGCTTCTAAATCTTGGCTATTGTAAATAATGTTGCAATGAACCCCTATTTTCACATATTCTTTCTAATTAGTGTTTCTGGTTTCTTGGGATATATTCCCAGAAGTGGAATTGCTGGGTCTTGAGGCAGTTGCGTTTTTAAATTTTTGAGGAAACTCCATCCTGCTTTCCACGGGGGCTGCACCAACAGTGCATGAGGGTCCTCTCTTCTCCACATCCTCGTCAATACCGTTGCTTGTTGATTTATTGATGACAGCCATTCTTGACAGGTGTGAGGTGATATCTCACTGTGGTTTTAATTTGCATTTCTCTGATGAGTAGTGATGTGGAGCATCTTTTCATATGTAGTTCTCTCTGGGGAGAGGGGCTGCAAGACAGTAAAACTTTCAGCATAATCATGTAAGTAGAGACCAAAAAATTCAATCACACACAAAGCAGGTGGACCCTTGCAAAGTTAATTAAGTGAGAATAAGGGCAAGCTGAGGGACGGGCACAAATCAGGTGTTATCTGAATCCCTGCATTGGTGGTTACTGTCTCTATTTACTGTGTCTTTTAAAGTAGTACTTGCATGACATATCATACTTGATTCCATATGAATTCCTTTTTTATTCTTTTTTTTTTTTGGGGGGGGGGCCTCTTTTTTCATTTCATTGCATGCAAATGATCTAAACCTACAGCTTTGTAGGTTATGCTTTAAAGCCCTAATACTGAAATAGTCTTATTCCTTACCCCTAGTAGCTGCCTGTCACTGCAATTCCTTGGGATTTGGAAAATACAGGATTTAAGCTAAATGTGCCTTCTGTAAGAATTACATCCCAAGAAAGGAAGTTGGAATATAAAGCTTAGGTTTTTATCATGTGTTCCAGTGCTTGAATTCATTCCCACTTTCGTGTAGAAGATCATGTATACTGTTAAATAGGCTGATACTTGTCCTGGCTGGTGTGGTTCAGTGGGTTGGAGCATCATCCCTTACACCAGAAGGTTGCAGGTTTGATTCCAGTTGAGGGCACATATCTAAGTTGTGGATTAGATCCCCAGTCAACGCATGTGCAAGAGGCAACCAATCAATGTATCTCTCTAACGTTGCTGTTTCCCTCTGCCTCTCCCTTTCTCCCTCTCCGAAAATCAGTAGTAATAAAATAATTTAAATAGACCCAGACCTTTATTGCTCTCTGAGTATATTGTTTACTAATTATGCTGCCATGAAGTGATCTTCCTCTTCCCTCTGCCAACTGTTTTTGCTTATTTAGAGATTTTGTTCTCCATTGTTGTTTAATTATCCAGCCTTGGCCTGCTTGACAGCTTAAAAGCATTAAGAGCTTAATCTTTAAACAGCTCAACCAACGCATTTGTATATTGACAAATAAAATGAACAAAATAACTTAAAAGTTTCTTTTTTTTAAAAACCCTCCTTAAAGTAAAGGCAAAAATAAAGGAATGGGACTATATCAAACTAAAAATCTTCTGCACAGCAAAAGAAACAACAAAACAAAAAGACAGCCAACCAGATGGGAGATGGTATTTGCAAGCAGTAGCTCCAGCAAAGGTTTAATTTCCATAAAGAACTCATAAAACTCAACACAAAGCAAACTAACAACCTGATCAAAAAGTGGGAAGAGGACCTGGAAATACACTTTTTCCCAGAAAACACACGAATAGCCAATAGATACATGAAAAGATGTTCAACCTCACTGGCAATGAGGGAAATGCAAATCAAAACTACAATGAGATACCACCTCACACCTGTTACAGTGGCCATTATCAATAATACAAGCAATAACAGTGTTGGAGAGGTAATGGGGGAAAAAGGAACCTTCATTCACTGCTGGTGGAAATGTAGATTGATATAAGCAGTCTGGCGATTACTCAAAAATTTAATAGAGCTACCATACAACCTAGTAATTCCTTTGCTGGGAATATATTCAAAACACTCAAAATTATATATTTACAAAGAGATATATACCCCTGTGTTCAATGCAACATTATTCATGGTGGCCAAGAAATGGAAACAACCAACGTGTCCTGTAATAGAGGACTGGATAAAGAAGATGTGGTAAATATACACAATGGAATACTACTCAGCCATATAAGAAAGGATGAAATAGCACCATTTGCAACAACATGGATGGACCTTGAGAACATTATGCTAAGTGACATAAGTCAAAGAACTGAATAATTTCACTTATATGTGGGATATGAAAGTGAAACTCGTGAACACAAACAGCAGTGTGATGATTGCCAGAGGGATGGAGCTGGTGAGAGGAGATTTGATTTTGGGTAGTGGGCTCATGGTGCAATATACAGATCTTGTAACATAGAAACCCACACCTGAAACCTATATGTTCATGTTGACCAATGTCACCCCAATCAATTTAAGTAAATATTTTTTTTTAAATATATTTTATTGATTTTTTAGAGAGGAAGGGAGAGGGATAGAGAGTTAGAAACTCATCGATCAGCTGCCTCCTGCACACCCCCCACTGGGGATGTGCTCACATTTAATGTACATGCCCTTGACCGGAATCGAACCTGGGACCTTTCAGTCCGCAGGCCGATGCTCTATCCACTGAGCCAAACCGGTTTCGGCTAAGTAAATATTTTTTAAATCTGCTTTAGTCACTGTGTAGAAACAGGGGACAGAAATGTATTTTGATTTCTAGATCCAGATAAGAAAAGAATATAATGCTGTTCTCCTGTGAAACAGGAATTGGCAAGAGCTGGATTATTTGGGACATATTACTGATAATAGAGAACTATAACAATAGTGACTGGGATATTTACTAGAGACACGTCATTATTGCAGGGACTAATTGCATCAGGCAGGATCCATTCAGGAAAATAGAAACCAGTGCAAGTATTTAAATAAAGAAGATTTAATATAGGGAATCAGTTAGACAATTGTTAAAAGGCCAGAAGAACAAAAATGGAAAGGTGTCAAGGGAAACAAAGGGGAGGAAGTGGTGCCACCAAAAGGTAAGAGCTCAGAGAAGGGGCCACCATCTCCAGAGCTACCACAGCCTCAAGAGCTGAGGTTGTTAAGGCAGAACCATTGCTTCCTGCCGTGGAGGAAGGGACATAGGCACTTCAGAGATGCTGCCAAGAAATAGAAAGGAGTGAGAGTAGACGGAAAGCACTACTCCACACTTCTACCAGCTGTTAATCACCTCTGGCTCCTATTGGCAGAATCTTAAGGAGCAAAGGACCCTGGGAAATGTAGTATGGAGATTATAGAAGGACAGGCATAGATCTAATAGATATATAACATATGCATTACATACCCATTTTCTGGATGCATAGTTCTTGCTAAATTACCATTTGTCTCTGCTTTCCTTAAAGCACTTCTTCACTTTGTATAGAAGCTATGAGAAGGATGAAGGTCAACATGAAATAAAAGTAAATTTCAGTCTGTTGTTATTCTTTATTTATTTATTATTATTTTAATATATTTTATTAATTTTTTACAGAGAGGAAGAGAGAGAAAGAGCTAGAACATTGATGAGAGAGAAACATCGACCAGCTGCCTCCTGCACACCCCCCACTGGGGATGCGTCCACAACCAATGTACATGCCCTTGACCGGAATCAATCCTGGGACCTTTCAGTCTGCAGACCGATGCTCTATTCACTGGGCCAAACCGGTTTCAGCATGTTGTTATTCTTTAATAAATACTAATAATAATCTTATCTAATAAAAGAGTAATATGCAAATTAACCACATCTCTGCCACACCCACAAGCCATGCCCACCAGCCAATCAGGAGTGGGTATGCAAATTAACTCAACAAAGATGGCTGTGGCCACGGAGAGAGCAGGAAGCTTGGGTTTCCCTGGCAATGGAGGTAGCCAAGCTTTCTGCCTGCCCTTACCTGCCTTGGCGTCCGATTAAGGCTACAAAATTTCAGTGATAGAAGATAAATAAATCCCAACAAAAATGGCTGCGGCCACGGAGCAAGCAGGAAGCTTGGCTTCACTCAAGTCTACAAAGTTTCAATTGTAGACGATAAATAAATCCCAGATGGGTCGCCAAGGGTGTGTGGCCAGCCTGCAGACCACCTTAGGCCCCTCACCCAGGCAGCCCCATGCCCCAAGGGGAACCCTCACCATGATCTGGGACACCCTTCAGGGCAAACCACCTGGTCCCACCCATGCACCAGGCCTCTATCCTATCTAATCCTCCTATCTAACAAAAGAATAATAGGCAAATTAACTGTCACTCCAACACACAAGATGGCTGCCCTCATGTGGTCAAAGATTACTGACCCCATGTGGATACAGTTGGCCAGCAGGGGAGGGCAGTTGGGAGGAGCCAGGCCTTCAAGGGAGGGCAGTTGGGGGCAATCAAGCCTGTAGGGGAGGGCAGTTAGGGGTGACCAGGCCTGCAGGGAAGGACAGTTTGGAGGAACCCAGGCCTGCATGGGGAGAGCAGTTGGGACCAAGCCTGCAGGGAAGGCAGTTAGGGTGACCACGCCTGCAGGGAAGGGCAGTTAGGGGCAAACAAGGCTGTCAGGGGAGCAGTTAGACATCAATGAGGCTGGCATGGGAGTGGTTAGGAGTGATCAGGCTGGCAGGCAGAACCAGTTAGGGGCAATCAGGAAGGCACACAGGCAAACAGTTGGGAGTCAGCAGTCCTGGATTGTGAGAGGGATGTCCCTCAAGGGCTCCTGGATTGGAGAGCGTGCAGGCCGAGCTAAGGGATACTCCCCTCTCCCCACCCACAAATGCACGAATTTTGAACACCGAGCCTCTAGTAATAGTCATAAATAGCAATATATGTGAGAAATAATATTGTTGCTTAAATGAAGTTATGCTGGTTTTCCTGGGTTGGTTAGAAAGAATGTCACCACAGATTTTTGTCTACTCAAATACACATCATTTGCTGGAGAGAACTGACCAAGAAATCAATGGGAACATCAAATATAGAGAGACAATTAAATGTTGGAATAATTAGTAGTCTAAATTATTTTAAGGTTTTGAACTTTTCATATCATCTCCTTATTTAAGGTGTAAGATTCAGAAACTTGAGTTTCCAAGCCTCGTGGGAAATTCTGACAACATCTTAAGCAAATGGGTATTTGTAAATGTTTTCATAATTCATTATATCTTTTTTGCATAACATGCCACCTATTTGTGGTGTGGGTCACAGGGCAAGGCAAAATGTTTCTGTTTCCTAAGGAAAAGACAGATCTGACAGTAAGAAAATAGCCTTAAACTTTGATAAATGTTATCATTTGTACTTTGTAGAGTTAAAGGAACCAGGTTCATTCAGATGAGATGTGCATTTGAACTGAGTTAAAGAGGGCAAGAGGGTCACCTGCTAAAAAATACATCACTTTCTCCCTTGGCGAACTTTTGATAATATGCAAATTGAGAGCCAGCCATTTTGTTTTCTGTTCCAAAGTTAGATAGCATTGCCTGTCAAAAGGAAGCAATAGATAATCCTCTCCTTTCTAAAGGAGGCTAGCAGGCTCCAAATAACCAAGGGTCCTACAGCACCACTTACGACTTTTCCAGGGAGTTTACAAGTCTGGTCTCATAGTTGTTTATGAAGCTCAGATGTAGGCAGGAAGAGGCACAAACCACGGTGAAGTTGACACATGTAGCTTGTAATCACATTAAATATTTTATTTACCTTTAACTAAAAACTTACCAAAGAGGGACTATGTGAAGTCTTCCTAGAAAAGGACTAGTGATTAAGTTTTTAACTTCTCTCTCATCAACTAGCCTGAAATATGATTTGACACCTGGAGTCACTGAGTTATGGGTTCCAGGTAAGATGTTGTAGGTTGGGGAGCTAGACCACCTGGTTTTAAACTGGCCCTACTATTTCTAGATGTATAACTTTGGATATGTCACTTAATTACTCTGTGCCTCAGTTACTTCAGATGTAAAATGGGGATAGATGTCTACTTTTTGGGGATTGTTTTTGAGTATTAAGTAAATTGATATGGAAAATTAGAAAGTCAATCCAGGTTAGATTTTATTTGATTTGGGTTTTGGTTTCAGTTATGTCTTAGACGAATAAAAATACTGAAAAGTCGATTTTTCCAGTCCATGCTTTGTTTTCAGTATGCAGATCTAAATCGTCACGAGGACGCGTTGAATGCGTGGAGAAACGCCACTGTGCTGAAGCCAGAGCACAGCCTGGCGTGGAACAACATGATCATACTCCTGGATAACACAGGTACAGAAAGGTGAATTGCCTAAGTCAGCGGAATCGTTTCCTGGGGCAGTACCACTGAGTCACTAGGAAATGGAGACTTTTGGGGAGGGTTTTTCCTAGTGTGTGCTAGAGTTGTTGTTTTTAAAAATTGTGATGGGTTTTTAATATTTTGCATTACAAAATGTCTATTCTTCTAGAACATGGAGCTTCCTTTGATATATTAGAATATAAATGCCTAGGGGAATGGTACTTGGCTTAACATTGGAGTTGAGTCATGATGAAGGAAAATGTGTGCTTACCTCCCATTTCTCTGAAGCCTGTTCTCTGGCAGCGCCCAGCAGCCTGGACGCTGGAGGTAACCAAAGGGAGCGGCAATGCTCTGGGCTTGTACAGTGGGTGGTGCTAGGTCCATGCTCTAAAGCTCATGGACTGTTCTCAAAGCACATGCCCTCAAACCTCACTCAGAGGTTCTCATTTTATATATAACGCTAACAACGGCCTTGGCGACCTAGTTCCTTAGCCCTTGGCAGACTTTATCTAGGAGACACTCTGCTCCTCTGGTTTTAAAAATTCAAGCATCTCCTAAGAAATGGTAGTTTTCACTTGGCAGACTCTGGAGCCAGTGAGTAGGCCATCAGTGAGTGTGGAGAAAAGATACTTCATTGTTTCTAATGAAGGCATAGAACGTGTCCTTTGGTACGATACATATCCCGTGATTAAAGTGTTCCTGCGATGTTCTTATTCCGCAGGCTTGTCTTCTCCGACTTGGGTATAATTGGTATCTGGGAGAAAATTAAAATTAGGTTTCATACAACATTTAATCAAAAGCGGTTTCTGTATTACGTCGGAATGGCACTGGGCTGCATTGGCTTTGCAACTATTAGGATCGTGTGTGTGTGTGTGTGTGTGTGTGTGTGTGTGTGTGTGTATACATTTACATTGATTTTTCTTAAGTAGTTAATTCATAATCATTGTGTCTAAGGCACGTAAACCCTGCTAGAGAGAAACCAAAAATACTACTACTTTTTTTTTTCCTTTTTTACTCAGGTAATCTAGCCCAAGCTGAAGCAGTTGGAAGAGAGGCGCTGGAATTAATACCCAATGATCACTCTCTCATGTTCTCGTTGGCAAACGTTCTGGGAAAGTCCCAGAAATACAAGGTGTGTGTAAACTGCAGGCCGTGCTTTCATGCAATGAATGCCAGCCTCTGACAGAAACAATGCATGTTACTTGGGCCCAGTTAAATTCGGAATTAGACCAAAACAGGGGGAGCAGTACACTGGTGTGGCTTGGTCAATTTGCTTCCTGGAGAAGTTGCCCCAAAAAAGGGTCAGACTCTGTGTTCTTTGTCATTGGAATTCACTGCCATTGCTCAAATGTGGGCGGGAGGAGAAGCCCAAGAAGAGGTGCATCATAGCAGATGCCGCAGCCCCACCCTGGCGAGAAGCTGTGAGTCCGCCCCTTGCAGTGGGGCTGGAGCTCTGGTTTAGGTGTGGGTGACATCTTCCACACTAAAGGAAATAACAGCCCACAGAGAAGGCAGGACTGCTTCTTGCTCCTTCCAAGTGTTTCCTCATCGCAAGTTAAGTTATAGGTCATCTGCACGGCCCTAGAAATTCCTGGCCAATGAAAAAACCAAGATCACTTATCCGGGCTCTTATCTGACTGGGTTGGCCAGGAGTAGACTGTGAATCCGAAAAGATGTGCTGAAGAGGGACTCAGTGTCGCTAATACTGGTGATATCAAGCTTTAATTCTACCAGCATCACCAAGGGAGAGTGTTAGAACGCAGGTGTCCACCGTCGTCCTCAGTACGTTGCCGGTTGCGTAAGGTCGGGGGATGGGCAGTGTTAGCTGGCATCCTCGGTATCTAACACAGATGCTGCAGAAAACGCTTTTAGAAGCAGCGCTTTAGTCCATTCATGAGGGACATTTTTCCTTTTAAATTTTGATTTTAATCGCACTAGGCATCAAGGTGGCGATTAATTCATCCTTGTCCTGTCATTTACCTCTCCTGTCTTGCCCATTAGGTATCATTGCCAGTATCATTTCCTATAACAACAGTTAACATATTTCTTGCATTTATCTCATTTTTTAATGTCAGGTTGTTAAATAGCTTCAATATCCATCTTAGCATTTCTAGATTGTACTCCAGAGATGACTTTTTGAAGGGTTAAGTTTTACTTTTTTACGGATCTATTTGTGTAGGGGTGGGTGTGCAGAGAGGAGGCGAGGTGTGTGTGTTTCCCTTCTAATGACCTTTCCAGCCATCTGTGTCAGCCTGGGGAATCTTGGGGGAGGCCAGGGACCACCTACAGTAAATCTTCAAGATTCAGCTGAGGTGAGGAAACCGAAATGAAACCTGAACTGAGGAGCTTGCTATGAACTCTTCAGGAGCTACCCAAGGAGGGATGGGGTGGTACATTATGAGCTGTGAGTCAGCCACCACGCCCTGGCTTCATACATTTTTTAAATTCGAGATTTGGAACTTTAAACCACTGTTTAGGGTTTTCTCCCACAGAAGTGACACCTGTTGCTATTGGTCAGCCATTGCAACCTGTTCCTGCAGAGCCTCGGGCGGGCAGCTCTGGAGAGGAGGCCGAGGTGGGGCTCACGGGGTACCCAGAGCCTGGCCTCCTGCTCAGCACGGTCCCCACCGGGAAAGATGTCTGCTGCCCGTGCAGCTCCCTTTCCACCTAAGCTTTTGCTGTTTCAGAGTCTCACGAACTTTTGATGAGTCTCTTTGGTGAGCCTGGAGCCTTTTTGAGGTCAGAGTCCTCGGTCCTATTTTTCCACCTCCACTGCTGCCCAGCGTGCTAATGGGCCTCTATTAAGTGCCCCAGGAGTAATTGGGAAATGGCTGAATGCACCTCACATTTGGCTCTGAGACATTTAAGCTTCCAGAATCTCTGTTGAGACTTTGATGTGCAGAGTGAGTGTTCTCGTTATTATATCCCTGTGACTACGGGACATCTGCTTATGCGAGCAGCCCTTTTTACCTAACAGCAGTCACTTAACCAATCCTTACTTTACTCATCTGTACAACAGAAATGATAGAGGGAAAAATGCACAAGAAGGTAATTTATAACTACTGAATGGTGTGTATATGTGTGTGTGTATATATACAGTAATTTTAATTCAATGATTATTAAATGAAATTCTAAGGATCATTATATTACTTTTTTTATTATTTACTTAATTATCTTTATTTAAACTTTTACACAGATACATGTATTAAAAGTGGAAACATAGTATTGCTACAAATGTAAGGTAACTGAAAATAAAATAATTTTTCTAAATCTCAGATAGGCACTATTGCTGGCCAGGGCTCTGATTCTGAGGTTTGCCTTCTTTTAGCTTCAAAGGGAGAATAGCAGACGTTGAGGTTGTGGCCCCCAAATCACCACCAGAGACTTTTGTGTGGGATGAACGGGAAGAAAGGAAGGCAAATTAGAAGGAACCGCCCACTTCCCATGTGACGTGTGGTTTCATCTTAACTCTGGACTGCCTACATGAGGCCCTCGTTGGAGCAGGCTCCAGGATGGCCCTTTAGAAACTCTGTCCATGTTTTAAGGGTGCTGCCCTGCCAGCCAGTGTGGCTGAACTGACCTCTGACTGCCCCGTCTGCTCCACCTAGACATAAAGACCCTGGCTCATTCCCTCGTAAGGCCTTTCTCTGTCTCACATGTTGCCCTAAACCAGTGGGCAGCAAACTGCAGCTCGCGAGCCACATGTGGCTCTTGGGTCCCTTGAGATTTTAGCAAAGGCCAGCTTAGGAGTACCCTAATTAAATTAACAACAATGTATCTGCCCATATAGTTTAAGTTTAAAAAATTTGGCTCTCAAAAGAAATTTCAATCGCTGTCCTGCTGATATTTGGCTCTGTTGACTAATGAGTTTGCCAACCACTGCCCAACCCCTTTGTTAAATCCATCTTGTCTATTGCACTTCAGAAAATAATATCCTTTTCCTTTTCTGTGAATGAAAAAATATACCTGATTTAAAATGGGAGTTTATTTATTTATTCCTTGGCATAAATCAGCATGTTACCTGGGTCTCTACGCATCCACACGCTCCCACAGAAGATCAGTTTATAGACAGTTCATTGCTCTCCGGAACAGGGCATTACAAGGCCTGATCTATGAGCATTTTCTGGGCCTTCAATGCCCACAGACGTTTGTAATGGAAACAGGCCTGTGACCCAGCCCTGCCTCCCAAGCTCACGTACAGCCCCAGGGGCCAAGGAAGCCTCCTTTCAAGGTTGCCCCAGTGCTGCCTGAGAGGGAGGTGGTCCAGCCGACACTCACCGTGCCCCCCAGACCTGCCCTTCCTCCCGACACCTCTTTTGTCAACGTGCCATCATTTTCCTACCTTCCAGGCTCATTTTTTCCTCCCCCATCACCTCATTGGTTTTCCTGTTTTCCCATTCCTTCCCACCCAGCCTCCTCCTCGCCTCTCGGGGTTCAGGCCCTGCCTAGCCAAGGGCGGCAGCCCCTAGTGGGGCGTAATCCCTGAGACCCTCCCTGTGCACAGCGTCCCGAACATTCCCACACTTGACTTCGGCGCCACGCCATCTTCAATGATGTGCACACGGATGGGCATTTGAGAAATTAGTTCATCAAGCAATGAGTCCAGCATCCTCCACCTCCTGACTTGGTTTTTATCTGTCAGCTTTCTCTCGCTAGCACATTGGGCATGTCTCGGAGCGTTTTAAACTAGACTCAAATTCCCTGGCTTTCCTATTTCTCAAATTTTAGGTTTAAAATGGAAATATTTAAGAATCATCAGAAATAGCACTGCTGCTTAGAAACTATTACAAATCTATACAGTTCACTTGATTTCCCCCCCAGTGTTCCTAAGAGAGCAGGAAAATCTTAGGCCTCCTTGAAGGAGTTGCAGCTTCTAAAACGTGGGATGTGGGCGCCGTGTCTGAGCTGAGCTCTGAGAGGGATGCTTGCCGACATCCCGTGTGCTGTTATCCCCCGTGGACCACGTTTGTAAAATACACACGTTCTCCTGCCACTTCTGTCGAGAAGGTGGCTTCAGAGATGTCCGCCCCGCCTCCCAGCCTGCTCCTCAGGAGTGCCGCTGGCCCTCCTGGGGCAGGGGAACCAGATGTCTTACACTTTATAAAGTGCTAGGACCTGCCGTGGAAAGCCCACCTGGAAAAACCCGCCAGCCCAGGGCACCGACAGAAAGAGCGGACCTGGCCCCACACTGGAGAGCTCGCTGGGCTCTTTGGCATCAGGAGTAGGTGGCGGGAATGGCTGTCCGCAGCAGGTGTCAGTGAGACCCAGCAGGCATCCTTATTTCTCCACATTTGGGTGGAAAGGGACCAGCGAGCCGGCCACGGCCAATAACGATCAGGGAAGCAAACACTCGGCCGTGCTCCCTCTGACCTCACTGGAAGTGAGTTCTACGTGAGGGAAATGCAAATCTATAGAAAGATCCGTTCACACACACCAGGGGCACGTGGTCACCGGCATGTACAGTACTGCGATGGCTCAGGTGACAGGCAGCTGCCTCTCCCTCATTCTCTCTGCTCATTTTTTTCCAGCCGAGAGAAGGGCTGCTTCTGGGTTGTGGGCTGTTGGGGGAGATTAAAAGAGCCCCAATTCCTACCGTGAGTACCCTGGAAATGAGCTCCTTGATGCTGACTGAAAATGACGCTTTCAAAAGAAAAGAGAAGAGGAGAAAAGGACACCTTCATAGGTGTCTTCAACAGTCCAGCCCTCTTCAGTCTTTGACCTTCACTTGCCCTCCTCCGCACCCTGAGCTGAGCTATTTGCCTGAAGTCCGAGAATTCCTGCCACATCCTTAAGGCAGGTGGCAGAGCTCATTAGCATATTCATTTTCTCTCTTCAGCCACCATCGCTTCCCATTGCTCTCACTCCACTAACCATGACACTGTCCCCTTTGTCACACGCTCCCCCGATTGTCCTTCCAAGCCTCTTCTCAACAGGGCGTGGCTGTGCTGGGCTTCCCAGTGTCCCCGGGAGAAGGATGAGGTGGAACCAAAACAGCACATTGAGGGTTCGGAAACCATAGGCAATAACACTGTGCACTGGTTTTGTATTGTGTGCATTACCTTTTTATTGTATCTCATTTTTTTAGGAATCGGAAGCGTTATTCCTCAAAGCAATTAAAGCTCATCCAAATACCGCAAGTTACCATGGCAATTTGGGTAAGGAAATTTTTCCATTTGGATCATATGGAAAGTGTGTGTAATTTTGATGAAATGGGTGGATTTCTGGAAAGCTGATACTGGAAAAGTAGATTTTTCAAACCTAGCCTGTGTCATGCTTTCAAAATGTGTGTTTTGTTTTGTTGTTGTTATTGTTATTTTTTAAGAAATCATTATACTAAAATGGGAGGTAAATAACAGTCATATGTACAGATCTTAGTTATGTGACCAGAACAGCCTCCCACATCACTCACTCTGATGATAAAACTTGGGTTTTCTTTCTTTATGCGAACGGTTTTAGGAATGCTAAACAGATGTGCTGTGGAATTTTGACTTTCAGCCTTTTCCCGTCTTGCCTAGTGGACCTTCCATTCCAGCCTGTCCTCCCCTTTCTTCTGTTCTCCTTTGCCTCAGCTAGAAATGCATTTGCAAAGATGTGTCCCCTAGAATTCTTTTCTTCCGTTATACATCTCAATAACTAAGATTTTTAGAGCACCGTAGGTTGATGTTCAAAATGCTCAATGGTGTGACTATTTTTCCCCCCCACCAAATCTGTTCCCTACAGACTCTGTAGTCATGACCCATGCATGATTGCTCTTCTGCCCGTCTAGCAAGTTGGTTTTACCTACACAATCTTTATCATCTTCAGAAGCTTGCCATTCTAATAATTAGATTTACTCGAGGGTCAGACCTCTACGTGAGCACCCTTATTTTCAACTGGCAACAAACAAGCTATTATTTGGGGGGATCTTTTTTTTTTTTTAATTAATATATTTTTAATTGATTTTTACAGAGAGGAAGGGAGAGGGATAGAGAGCTAAAAACATCGATGAGAGCCGAAACCGGTTTGGCTCAATGGATAGAGCGTCGGCTTGGGGACTGAAAGGTCCCGGGTTCGATTCCAGTCAAGGGCATGTACCTTGGTTGCGGGTATATCCCCAGTAGGGGGTGTACAAGAGGCAGCTAATTGATGACTTTCTTTCATCGATGTTTCTAGCTATCTCTCTCCCATCTCTCCCTTCTTCTCTGTACAAAATCAATAAAATATATTTTTTTTAAAAATTGATGAGAGAGAAACATCAACCAGCTGCCTCCTGCACACCCCCCAACCAATGTACATGCCCTTGACCGGAACCGAACCCGGGACTTTTCAATCCGCAGACCGACGCTCTATCCACTGAGCCAAACTGGTTTTGGCTGGGGGGATCTTAATGTAAAATAAATAGGGCTCTGAGCAATGAGGGAGCCTGCCCTAGCTATTCAGCCTGGCTTCCTAGAAATGTCACGGCAGGACTGAGAAACGTAGCACTCTTGCCTTTTACCTTTTATGTAAGAATGTTGCTGTAGGGAGACGGCTCATGCCTAGTGATACGAAGACCCCCCCAGGACTGACGGGGGTGTTTCAGCGGACAATCACGGGGAGTGTGATTCCAATAAATAAAGTCTGTGGTACAGGCAATATTGTTTTAAACACTGATTGTTGAAAACAGTTTCAGAGGCTCTTCAGAATTTCTTTGTAGAAGTGGTTGGGAACACGGCGAGGTATTGAGAGCGTGCCCAGTGAAACGCCTCTCCTGCTATTTCAGCTGTGCTCTATCATCGTTGGGGGCATCTGGACCTGGCCAAAAAACACTATGAGATCTCCCTGCAGCTTGACCCCGCGGCACCGGGAACTAAAGAGAATTACGGTCTCCTGCGACGCAAGCTGGAACAAATGCAAAAGAAGGACGGCTGATCCTTTCTCTTCTTCCATTTGGCGTGTGTTTGTGTGCATGAGGCATTTCGCTAATATCCTATGGTTATGTTTCAACATTTAAAAATCTTACGTGTTCTTATTCTGTTTTCTTTTTTTTCCTATGAAAACAAAGACATGCAAAAAGATGACAGCACCAGCAGTATATACTCTTGAATACGTGATGCGGTTTTTGCATTGAAGTTGTATTTTTTCAGACCACTCAGATATAAATCCCAAGATTTCCAGAATGAAGTCTCTCTCTCTCTCTCTCTCTCTCTCTTTTTTTTTTTTTTTAATTAAAAAGAAAAAGAGAAAAATATTATCTGGAGCAACTTACACTAGAATTAACCAGGCCTTCGGGATGTGAACTGTGCTGTGTAGACAAGCACTTATTCAACATCGGCTGTGAACAGGAAATGACAAGCTGATTCCTACAATTTATGTAAATATCAAATGTGTCTGTATATTAGGCATTTTATTTAATGACAACAAAGGGTAAATTAAGATTTTGGGGTTTCTAAATCTTTTTTTTTTAAATAATATAGTATGAACTTCATGTGTAAGGAAATATATTTATGTGTACTTTTATGTTTTGGACAGGGCAAATAATTGAGTGAAGAATGGAAATGTTAACATCTAGTACATTTATATACTTTTTCCTTCATAGGAAGAAGTTCACTCCTGCAATATTTTTTGGATTCTCCAACTCCTGTAGTTTTATAACACAGGAAATTGTGTAGCATTCTACATGAATTGTTACTACTAATAGAAAATCCAAGCTATGCTACAGGCAAAAGCAGGCAGCCTGGTGTCTTTATGTGTTATATCCAGTATTAAGAGGGCTACACATCTATGTAAGTTGCTTTTTTAATGTTTTTAGCTGTAAAGCAGTTTACCATCTGGCTTAAGGGAATCCCAGTCATCACTATATTCAGAAAACACAAGATGTGTATTTTTCTCTCAAAGGAAGCCACATTTAGGGGAGTTTGTTGTATTTTTAAGAATCGGATTATTTTTCTATTTTACTTGCTCAGAATAATCATGTTTGTTTTATTTCATTCTTCTATATATGTTGTTGACTTAATGATTTATGCAATCTCTGATTTCTTAACGCAGTAAAATTACTGTACAAATCCTGTCAAGTGTGTGGCTTCTATTTGGCTTTAGGGGCCATTTAACAGAAATAAATAAATATATATATATATATATATATATATATATATATATATATATATATATGTGTGTGTGTGTGTGTGTGTGTGTGTGTGTGTGTGTGTGTTTTATTTTTTTTAACCCAGGGTCAGTCAGAGGACTGGGTGAATAGATCCCACTTTGAGATGAATTTGATTCTCTACACTTTTTGGGAGGGGGGGGTGCGAAACTACTTAGAATTGTATATCAGTAATTATAATTTAATTGGTTCCATTACATCAGAAAACAAAGTGCTGAGGATTGACATAAATCAGAAAAGAAGATGCTGTGTTTCAAACATTTCTTAATTGGTTCCAAAATAGCAATAACAGTTTATAGATCTGTTAGGGGCAGGAGCTGTCTTATTCTTATTTAGGTCTTTACAGTGCTTAACATGGCAGATAACAGATATACTATATGCTTGTTGATTTTTTTTTAGAATCAAATTTCTTTAAAATAGTACTTCTCTTTTGAGCTTCGACCTAAGAATTGCGAGGTCAAGATTCGATTCCCCTTTGGGGCACGTGCCCGGATTGTGGGCGTGATCCCCAGTGGGGGAGAGCAGGCAGCAGCCGATCAATGATTCTCATCATTGACGTTTCTTTTTCTCTCTCCCTTCCTCTCTGAAATCAATAAAAATATATTTTAAAAAACAGACATGGGGGGAGTTTCCAGTTGGGAAAATCTGAGATTCCTAATCGTCATCTTTCGCCTCCCTGGTAGTGAGCATCATGAAACCCAGGTGGCGATCTGGGGTTGTTCTTGGTTTGTTTAACATGTGTTACTGCTACAACTCTTCCCTGTTTTAATGCAGCCTTACATTTATTTCTTAATGGATTTTGCATCTTGAGACCCATTATTCATTCCCCTGCCTGGCCAAGTAGACAGTACTGGACTGCGGCAGTAATCCCACAGTCCTCCTTCCTCTTTTTCTCCCCCTCGGGTGAGCTCCACCCCGGAATGTCCCACCAGTGTCTGTCTCTGATTAGTGTGCCTCCTCCCTCAGTGGCCTCTCTTAAACCAAGTACAGCTTTTCAAAGCCATCGTCCATCTTACCCTCCATCCTACTAGATTTTAGGTTAACATCAGCAATCTGAGACTGTTTCTCCTCTTCTGTCATTTTTATTTGGAGATAATTATAGATGCACATGCAGTTGTAAGAAATAATAAAGAGCTGTAACCCGTTTGGCTCAGTGGATAGAGCATCAGCCTACAGACAAGGGTCTCAGGTTCGATTCCAGTCAAGGGCATGTACCTTGGTTGCAGGCACATCCCCAGTAGGGGGTGTGCAGGAGGCAGCTGGTCGATGTTTCTCTCATCGATGTTTCTAACTCTCTGTCCCTCTCCCTTCCTTTCTGTGGAAGTCAATAAAATATATATATATATTTTTAAAGAAATAATAAAGAGGCCTCCTATACCCTGCACCCAGTTTGCCCCAATGGTAACATCTTGCATGACTGGAGTACATTACCATAGCCAGGATATTGACATTGATGCACCCACCAGCCTCATTCAGATGTCACCAGTCTTACATGAACTCATTTGCATGATGTGCTCTGTGCGGTTTTTATCACACGTATGGTCACCATAGTGAAGATACAGTTCCATTACAAGGATCTCTGGAGCTACTCTCATGTTACTGCTTTTTTCAAAATACTTTCTTGAGCACTGACTGTGTACTAGCTGTGCTCCAGCTGCTGTGATACAGTGGAAAATGAAAACAGATGGGTCAGAGATTGAGCATTGACCTACGAACCAGGAGGTTATGGTTCGATTCCTGGTCAGCGCACATGCCTAGGTTGCAGGCTTAATCACCAGTGGGGGCATGCAGGAGGCAGGCAACCAATCAATGATTCTCTCTCATCATTGCTGTTTCTATCTCTTTCTCTCCCTTTCTGAAATCAATAAAAAATATACAAAAAAAAAAAATAAACAATAATAAAACGGAGGGGATTCCTGCCCTTGGGGAAGCTCACAGTTTAGGTTACCTTCTTGTATACCCCGGTGACGGTGACCCATGCTGGTGGAGGCATCTGGGACTAAGCTAATGTTAACAGGCCCTCTCCAGGGGACTTCTGCGGGGGGGGGGGGGGGGGGGGGGGGGGTCGCTCATTCACATGGTTTCCTGCCAAGGTTGTCAGGACATTTCTTTCCTTCTGTGATGCAAATTCTTCCTCAGTTTGTAAAACTACCCCCCCCCCCCCCGAGGCAATGAAACAGAATCATCTCAAATGTTTCTGCTATCTGCTTCCTAAGAACAGATATTGGTTCAGCTGCCTTTGCCTTCTTTGACCTCATATTGATGTAAAAACTTGGCTAGGCATCCAGGGAAAACAGAGTTCTGCTGGGACAAGAGTTGAGTAACCCTGATTTTCAGTAAAGTGAGACATGTAATATTACTTGATTCATTCATAAATACCAAGTATGTTGATTATTACAGTCTCATTGTAAAACCCCTCACAGTCTTGTCTTAAATGGTCTCTCTGAGCTCTAAATTGCACCAAGAAGATATTGGTTTGGTGATGGCCTCTTTCAGGATGAGGTTCCTCACGAAATGCTGATCAGAGCTGATCTAGTTCAAAGCAGAAGCAAAGGTCCCACTTGGGACAGTGGTTGCAGTGAAGCAGACAAGGAGAGAATGGTGGAGACAGGAGCCCAGGGGATGCTAACAAATAGCATGTGATCTTCTTTAAACTTATAGAAAGCACAGTTTATATTTACATGGGCTTTTTGAGAGGAACAAAATTGGAGTGGGGAGAGACTTCTCCTTTGCAAATTTCTGCATTATTTGAAATAAATTTTCTTTCTAAATAAAGGAGCATGTGTGACAGCACAGAGGGATCTTTATTCAAGAGAGCCATGGATGCATTTGCAATAAAGCTGTGATAAGGTTCCTGCTGGGAAAGAAACACCGTAAGGGAAACTCAGGTAACCAGGGTGTTTGCTAAATTGCTTTGCCCAACAGACAAGAGAGACGCTGAGGACACTCGGGCCCCAGAGCAGTGCTGAGTGACAAGAATTGGGGAGGCAGCATTTTTTCAGATTATTGGTTGAACTACTGGAGTACCGCCATGCAGACTCTTCTCTGAAGCGTGTCTTTAAATCGTCAGTGAATTCTGTGTACTCTGTGGTTGTCTGGAAACAGCTGGCATTTGGGTACACAAAGCTTGAATGTGCAATGAAAGCATGTTATAACTGGATTTGAATCCTATTCTTCCACTTACTGAGTTGTAGGAACTTAGGCCAGTGGTCGGCAAACTCAGTCAGCAGAGCCAAATATCAACAGTACAACTATTGAAATTTCTTTTGGGAGCCAAATTTTTAAAACTTAAACTGTTTAGGTAGGTATATTGTTATTAATTAGGTACTCCTAAGCTGGCCTTTGTTAAAAACTCAAGGGACCAAAGAGCCACATGTGGCTCAAGAGCCACAGTTTGCCGACCACTGGCTTAGGCAAGTGTAGTGGGTTGAATTGTGTCCTCCAAAATTCATGGCCACCTGGAAATAGGGTCTTTACAGATACAATTAGTTAAGAAGGTAGAGAGGAAATCATACCGGATTTAGGGTGGGCCCTAAATCCAATGACTGGTAACACATAAAATGAGAAGGCCATGGGCAGACGGAGGCAAAAATTGGACTAATGCTGCCACAAACCAAAGAACACCAGGGAGCCACAGAGAACGGAAAGAGACCAGGAAGGATCCTCCACTGAAGCCTTCCGAAGGAGGTAGTGCCCTCACCTTGACTTTGGACTTCTGGCCTCCAGAACAACATTTCTACATGAAGCCACCCAGTCCGTGCTGTTTTAT